CGGTTGAGAAATATTGTGATAGACGTTCAAGAAAGGAAGCCTCATTGAGAGTACAAACCATTAATCATGAAGAAAGCTTAGGGTCTGCACGCCTACATAAGGAAAAGCTTCTGTTTGTGATGCGAGAAATGACATTGTTATATTATCTTAGACACTCACCACAGAGAACCATCCCTGCCCACCTGTCTGACGCTCAACTTCTTGAGAGCTCCTCTTTGCGACTACTCGGCATCACATTGAATGCTGACCTGAGATGGAACAAATACATTGAGTCAATTGCTTCGTCCACCGCAAGGAAAGTTGGCTCCCTGTGCCACGCCAGGAATTTTTTCTCGCCGGAGTCGATCCTACAAATCTACAAATCAACAATTCGCCCTTGCATGGAGTATTGCTGCCATATATAGTCTGGAGCCCCTTCTGTTTGTCTCAAAGTTCTTGATAAAATCCAGAGACTGATATGCAATGTAATTGGCCCTGATCTAGCATCTCGTCTGCAATTGCTTTCTCACAGACATGCCGTCACCTCCCTTTGTCTTTTTTACAAATACTTTCATGGTAACTGCTCCGATGGGTTGCTTTCGCTGGTTCCCAGACTTCATGAATTTAACTACGAGGCTGGCATCTCGCTCTCACCCTTTCACTGTTGAAACTGTTAAATGTAGCTGTCTCTTCTACTCCAATAGCTTCATGTCTCGCACCTATCGCCTGTGGAACTCTCTCCCACTTTTCCTGTTTCCCTGATAGCTATAATCTCCAACTATTCAAATGTAATGTCAATCGACGTCTCCAGTTGCCTTGATCTATCCCCTATCCTTCTCTTCATCCTTTCCTCTATCACTCCTAGTTGCTCTGTAACCCCCTTTGCGTGCTTGTGGCGCTACCGCCTTGATTGGGGTGAAACACTTAACACCAAAAAAAAAAAAAAAAAACTCCAAAAACAAAAACAAAAAAACAAAAAAAAACAAACTCAGAGCCGGAAAAGAAAAAGAAGGAAAATAAATAGGCAGAGATTATAATATAAGAATATAATGAAAAGGCAAAATAACCACGACATCGGACACACAACCCGCATATACACCCACCCAACCATATACACCCACACATATACGCACACGCGCGCGAACACACACACACATACATACGCACACACACACAAACAAATAATATTGAAATATATATATATATATATATATGTATATATTTTCACACTTATCTATATAGGTATGTATGCATATATATATATATATATATATATATATATATATATATATATACCTAACCGGTAGCACAACTTTGATTTTCATGCACAACGCAATCTTCAATCAGCATCTGCCGATTGCGTTGTGCATGAAACTCAGAGTTGTGCTACCGACGAGGGAAAAATTTATATTTATTATTAATATAAATTATAATTATGGTAATATATGTATAGCACTATTTTATTAGCACCGGTACTCAATGTGTGATATTTAAGTCATATGTATAAAGTTGGGAGGACCGTATCGCCAACAACGAGGTCCTCTCTCGGATGTCTTTTTCCCAGTATCGAGGCTAGCATCTAGCATCCTTCAACATCACCTCCGATGGGTAGGTTACGAGTCCAGAATGCGCCCCACTCGGCTCTCACGTATCAGCCTGATTGGAGAGCTCACCAGCGGCAAGAGACGTTATTCCATATATATATATATATATATATATATATATATATATATATATATATATATATAAAAAAATTACGTAGACATATGTTTAAAAAATATAGCTGTAAAATGACACTATCAATAAAGACAAAAAGAAAAAACTTATCAACGCGTTTCATCATCTAACGGACTTTATCAAGATAATTTATCTTGATATAGTCCGTCAGGAAAGCTATAACATATATATATATATATATATATATATATATATATATATATATATATATATATATATATATATATACATTATATATAAATAAAATTATTTTTAAGTTGCAAGTATTCATCTAAACAAATTTTATTAAATTAAACCGGCAATTTTGCGTTGTATTTTTTTATAATTTTTGTAATAGGCTGTATTTTGTTTTCCATCCCGATATACAAATTCGGATTTTAAAATTGTAAAAACACAATAACAAATTTAATAAAGAAACCTTGTCGAAGCAATTTAACAAAACCTGTTTAGACTGTTTGCATAGGATATATAAAAATGATACCTATATGTCTGTATCTACGCGTGCACATTATGACACTTGAAATTCATATACGTCTCCATTGTATATATATATATATATATATATATATATATATATATATATATATATATATATATATATGTATGTATGTATATGTAAAGTTATGCCTTAATAAGAGCTGCGTTGGTGTACAAGATATCAAATTTCTGCTTGGAGTGACCTGAATTCGTTTAGTTTTTGATACTGCAATTCACAGAAGCATGACATGGAAAAACTCATTCAAAAGTACCTTGTCAGCCCGGCTAAATTACCCCGAACTTGTAACCTATTTAGCCAGCTGATTCTCCTGTCGACAACTGCAACTTACCAGTCCGTTACTTGAATTATTTTTTCTAAGCATGATATTAAAATATGCCTCATTGTACCTGACATATGACGTTTGCATATCAACATATTTCATATTTCGATGTCACGACGCCTTAATATTTCAGAGTTTGACAACAATGTGCATAAAATTCCTTTCATTTGCATGTTAATAAGACAGTTCTATTAAAAGAAACAGAAATTTAGTCTGAATAAAATGATTCACGGACTTGCGTATTATTATTCTTTTATGTATCGTGTCCCTTCAGGACGTTGGTGATCATGCTTTTCCTGTCCTTTGCAGCTCTTATTAATGGTCTTTTTCTTATCTCTCCTAAACCCTGTTCTGTTCTGCCATACAAGCTAATTCTTCTTCTTCTTCTTCTTCTTCTTCTTCTATGTGCCATGTTTTTTTGGGATGTTGGCGATCATGGCTCTCCACAATTTCCGGTCGTTTGTAACTCTTAATAAATTTTGTCTTTTTTGTTATCTCTCTAAAACCCTGTTTTGCCATTCATACCCAATCACGTTAATTCGATTTCAAATCGATTATTTCTACGGCTTATCAAGTAATTTTCAGCACCAAAACGTATATATATAATCGACTCTCCCGTCGAGATTCGACGTATGAGGGTCAAGCAGATCAGTTTCCAGGAAACCGACACCGGCACATGAGATTTGATTATAGTGGTGAAGGCCTCGTGCAGGACCATCCACACTTTTTGAAGGGACGAATACAGAGACCTGGTGCACCGAATGCCACGAGGTTCCCAAACGACCCTCCGCAGGTTTTGAATTCAGAGTTGTCTTTCTCCTAGGCCAGTTGCCATCCAAGGCTATAGAACCCAGTCTGTCCTGCTATGGGTAAAATAGCAGGACAGACTGGGTTCTATAGCCTTTAATTTTAATATTTAATTTTGCGCATCCTCGTTGTTTGTCTTTGTCGACTGCACAATAGTGTAGGGTCAGTTGGGCACCGTCTGTGAAAAAAAGAGCAACATGACACAATTCCCTCCGCCAGAAATTTGGAAACGGCATGCTGTACTGCTTGGCATACGCGCCGGAAAATCCAATACGAAACTTTCAGATAGTTTGGGTGTTAATCTGAGGTCAGTGCAGAAGATTCAGAAAGAGTTTGATGAGTCTAATGGGGATTACGAAGGTACAGCAGTTTGGAAAACTCACTCTGATTCTTCTAATAACAAAAGAACTCCCAGATTTGTTGGTGAGATCCAGACCATATTTGAAGATGATCCCTTCAAATTAATCCGGTCCATAGCCAGGGAGTGTCTGAGTTGTTTACCAGACAGGTAGTGTATAAAGACATTCGAGATTTCTCATACAAGATCAGAAAGTGCCAATTTTTATGCCAAGCCATGAAGGACAAAAGATGAAAGACTGTGCCACAAAGCTTTTGAACAAACTCAGCCGTCTCCTCTAACCGAACATGCTTTGTTTTTTCTCAGACGAGAAAATGTTCTGCCAGATGATGAACATATAGAACAACTGTTGGCTTGCTGCGTTCCCAGAAGATGTACCGAGAGTGATTAAAACCAAATATCCAATCAATATCATGGTGTTTGGGGGTGATCACTAGGGATGGCGACGTTATGCCTCCATTCATCTTCCAGCAGGGCCCCAGACTCAACACGGATGCCTACATCAAGCGCCTTGAGAAGGGTGTCTGCTGGAAGACTCTATGTCTGACAACAGGACTCTGTATCATGTCACACATGCAGAAGGATCCAATCATGGCTTTCAGACAATTTCTGCGACCACATCACCCCTTGGCCAACTAACTTTCCAGACTGCAACCCCCTTGATTATTATGCATGGGGCACAGTTGAGCGAGAGACCAACAAAACTCCTTGTAACACCAAAGATGAACTGAAGGCAAGGATTATGGCAGCATTCACCAACTTAAACAAAGATACAACCCAGAAGAGTTGCAGGAGATTCCCAAGTCATCTGGAGGCCGTGATTGATACCAATGCCAATTTTATTGAATGAACTTACTCTTTAGTATTTTAGGATATTTTTGTACAAAGTTGGTAAATATATTTATTAAAATGAAATGTCAGTGTATTTTCATTTTAGCGTAATTTAGACGACAATTTATCCATCGCACTCTCGCTATATATAAGCACACACAAATATGTATGTATATGTATATGTATATATATATATATATATATATATATATATATATATATATATATATATATACACACACATAAAATATTGATCTTTGTGGCGCATACACACCTTTTTCAGGCTATTTAAAGCCAGGAACTAGTTTCAAATTTTAAGAACTTTGGTTTACTGATACTACTCCGACTAATTAATCCATAGCTGGGAGAGCAGAGGTGTATTAAAACTTTTCCCGAAGGTATTTGCGGACCCTACTGGAACTGAAACTCGGTTCACCAATTTCAAGTCGTAATCCATGACACATCCACACTTACAACACCTGGTCTTCCAAAGCGATTACCCACCACGGTACTGATTATGCTCGGCGTTGCTTAACTTCAGTGATCGTATGAAAACCGGTGTTTCAACGTGATATATCTGTAAGACACAATGAACCGGAGCAGACCTAGCAATTTATTCAATATAATCGCTTCACGTATATATATATATATATATATATATATATATATATATATATATATATATATAGTTTATTCAAATTTAGGTAATCCGTATGGGTAGACCTGAGGAGGATGATATCAGAGAGCTCAATGTAAAATTCAGAGCAGATATGTTTGAATAAAAAACAGACCACGTTAAGATTCCATGTAATAAGCTATTTCACCATAACCCCTTTAACAGGGTTCTGGATCATCAGACTTTACTTCCAATATATATATATATATATATATATATATATATATATATATATATATATATATATATATATATATATATAGTGTGCTGAAGCAGTAGATCATTATTTAAAATGAATGTCTATTATGTCTGATCATGAACCGTACTAAAGTTCAAATGTTTGTTTTAATTGCTGGTGAAAATAAAGACAAAAATTGTCCAACATTTGGATATTTTTTTATTAAGTTGGTCCTATGCTTTCAGCTCACACGAGCCATCCTCAGTGTGGTTATACAGACATTAAAGAATGGCTCACTTGAGCCCAAAAATATTTGACATTATAAATTTTTTAAATTCGATTTTTGATTTTCGACATTATGGCTCTTATATTATATATATATATATATACATATATATATATTTCTGGGTAGAATGTGTCGGTAAAAAATCTTGACTGACGAATATCCTATTTACTTTTAGTTTGAGGAGATTTATGTTGCGCGGTTTTTAAACGTCACGCTTTAGCCCATGATTTTCACGATTGTGCAGCTGACTGTGTCGGGATTCGTCGCAATCGACTGGATAACTTGATAGTCAGATAAACTTTTCTGATAAGAAATATTAAATTGCACGAAGATACACCCAAATATGTAGATACAGAATTTTTCTTTTTATGATTCGGAAACTCGATATCTCTCTCCCCCCCATATATATATATATATATATATATATATATATATATATATATATATATATATATATATATATATATAGTGCTCTTCGATAAAAGTGACTCACCTGATTTTTTTTTTTTTACTAAATGTTCTCTTCTCCGATGAAACGAAAGTTGAGCTAAATTCAAAAGGATAAGTGATCTAAAATCAAAAGAAGAAGCTTTGAAAGCTCTTTGAATTTAGCAGTAAGTACTGTCAAGCATCCATTCAGTATAATGTTCTGGGGATGCTTTTCTTTACATGGAACTGGTTTCTTAAAACCTATTGAAAAGACCCTCAGGAGTGAGCAGTACAAGAGAATTTTAGAGTCTTGTCTGCTCCCTTCTGCTGAAAGGGTGCAAATCGACCCCACCAAACTCATTTTTATGTAAGATAATGCTCCCTGTCACAAATCAAAATTGATGAAGGAATACTTTGATGAAAAGCAGGTGAGTGTTATGAGATGGCTGCCCCAATCTCCTGACCTCAACCCCATAGAAAACTTATGGAGCATTATAAAGTACAGGCTCTCGAGAAAGCAGTTGAGCAACAAAGAGGATTTGATTGTGAATTTCATATCCGAATGGAATTCAATGCTTGGAGATGAGATTTGCCAGAAACTAATCAAGTCAATGCTAAAAAGGGTTGAAAAGGTTATTCAAAATAAAGGAGGACCCATAGATTATTAAATATTTCGAACTTTATTACCTATTATAAATAAATTATACCTCTATTATTCTTTATTTAAAGCCGTTCGGTTATGTTTCTATTGATTACTCGTTGCAGGAAATAAGTGAGTCACTTTTTTTGCATAGAGTTTTTCCCTAAATCTCATTTATATCCAAAATTATAATTATCAATAGAATACCTTAGGGTGAGTAAACTTTTTTACTAGGTGGTCAGGAAGTGGTCTTTATATTATTAAGATTAAAAACTAGTTTGACCTCAAAAACAATAGGCGAAAAATTTTTAAGTAAAAATATAATCAGGTGAGTCACTTTTATCGAACAGCGCTGTATATATATATATGGTTATTCTCGTGCTTCGTTATAAACAAGACAAGTTTTATAGCTGATTTTCTAGAATATCGAGCATCATAGCAGCATAAACTTGTTCTAAGCTAATATATATATATATATATATATATATATATATATATATATACATCTGGAGTGTAGTCGATGTGGTGAATATAACATCAATCAGCTAGAGTGACAAATTTTATATTTGTATTAATCCAATATATATATATATATATATATATATATATATATATATATATATATATATATATATATATATTTTTTCGATTAATTGCTGATAGATGTTATATTCACCACATCAACTACACCCCAGACCAGAGTTTTGTAGATGAACTATTCTGCAATTGTTCAATCCACTCGTCAGGAGTTAAAATAAAAAACAAAAAAAGAAAAACAAAAAAATCGATTTCGCTCCATGCAAAGCAGTAAAACCGCTTACATACAAGAGGTTGCTGGGTGTGGAAGAATTAGGAACAGAAACAATAATAATGAGCGGGAAGTGAAAAGGGTAATCCGGAGGACAGTAGATTGCATTTAAAGTTTTGGAGATTAAAGTTGGCAGGAAAGCATGAAGCCAGAAGGGAGGTTCCACAGGCGAGAAGTGAGAGAAAAGAAACTGTTAGCATAGAACTTATGGTTACATCTAGCCAGCTCAACTGTAAATTAATGAGATCTCGACGCCAGTCTAGTCCAGCGCTTAAATTCAAAAGGTCTAGATACCATAGCGAACAGCTCATCTGAACAATTACCATGAAAGTATTTATAGAAAAGATACAGGGAGCCAACTTTACGGCGGTGGGAAAGTAACTGAAGCCGAGCTACCAGATCAGGACCGATAATATTGCTGATGATTGTTCGGATTTTATCAAGGATTCAAGTTAAATAGCATGGGCACCGGGCCATATGAAGCAGCAATATTCTAAACATGGACGAATGGTAGCCTTATAGATATGTAAAATAGATTCTGGAGAGAAAATTGTCTTGCTCTATATAGTAAACCGATTTTCTTAGCAGCTGACCTGGCGATGGATTTAATATAATCTTTCCACTTTATGTCAACTGAGACTATTAGCCCGTGAAGGCGTAACGAGTTACTTGCCTGGGGAATAGTTTCAGCCATGTTGATGGAAGGCAGAAAGTTTAGTTTTTAATTTAAAGGCGTTAAAAATTACAAACCATCTTTTGCCCCTGTTAATGACAGACAAAATTTATTTTTAAATATAAATTGAAGGACGCTATTTAGTTGAAACATAATTCAGTTAATAAAATATTACAGTAAAATATCTTTAGGACCCCCCCCTCCGTGTTTATATAGCTGCATTATCCTGCATGATTGAGTCACGTTTTATTCCCTGGGGCATATGTCCTTGGGGACAAAAATGAATAATAGTATAATGGCCGTAAACGTCACGAGTATGGCAATAAAGATTAGAACCACATTCCGAACAGTGTAAATAGTACAAACAGGTATGTCTAGTTGGGACCTTTCCCCGAAAGTTTGAAAATAAGTTTTGAAATAGCAATTAGAAGAAATACACCATGGCTAAACGCCCGTTTCATTTCGATTTTTGAAATATTTCAGTGAAATAAAGTGCGACATTGAGATTTTAAGGGATAAATTGGTACAACTTTGCAAAGAAAAAACTACATCGGGATGGGTGTAGTAAGAAGACTTCAATATGGATTCAACATAATCTGTCCACGTCATGTCAGCTGAGAACGTTAGCCCGAAGAGTCGTAACGAGTCACTTTTCTGGAGGTTAGCATTAGCCACGCTGATGGAAGGCAGAGATGGGTCTCTCAGATGATTAATGGAGAGAAGTTGTGTTTTGGAGGCGCTAAAATTGACAAAGCATCTTTTGCCCATATTGGATTAATACAAATAGATAATTGGTCACTTAGCTGATTGATGCTATATTCAGTACATTGACTCCAGACCAGAGTTTCGTAGTCGAACCTTTCTGCAATCGTTCCATCCACTCGTCAGAAGGTTCCAGCAATTGAGTGCCTATTTTTTCTCATTTATCGTTATCTATATATCTATATACTAAGGTTGATGTAATTAATTTATTTTATATCATTAATATATTTGTATATTTATGCAGCAATCCTTCTTTCATGCACATTTCATTGAAAACGACAGACAAGGTGCTTTTATTTTTATTTTTTTATGCAATTTCTCATGCAATCTAATAATTTTTTTCTTTTCGGATGATAAATTATATAAAAATTGTTCGAATGTTCTTTTTATTCGAGCGCTTTCGGCTGTACATTTAGCCATTTTCAAGGATTATATTTTCACTGTTAAAATAAGAAATAGTTTGTTGTATGTATGTTTTATAAAAGGCTTTCATTTTTCAAAACACGGTCAAGATATTATGTCCATGTTCAAAGTTAATATTATAAATGGTTCAGTTCGAGACTCCTCCCTATATCACCTGAAGAAGAACGGTGGGTAAACACTTACGTCCTATTTTGCTATTGGTTGTCTTATTTTGAAGAAATCAGAAAAGCTTCTACTGGACATAAAGTAGGGGATCAGTTTCCTATTATCATTGAATACTAAACTGATCCCCCTAGTATTACTGCATATTAACCCTTAGAGTCCTGACAACCGCCTTACCGGTGATAGAGAAAAATGACGTAGTTGCCCAGCCACCGGTTGAACGGTGTAGTGAAAAGGATTTAATGTTCAGGTACGGGTTGCACGGTGGGTAAACACTTGTAACTATTTTTATATCTACCGTGAAACATTACATACTAATTATTTGCGAATTTTGACTCAGGAGATCAGGCAGAAGGGTTAAAATTGTTCAGAAATGCAAGGTCGAAAAGGTTAATGTACAGGCGTGAAGAAGTAACATAAAAAAAACAATGGGCATAGGTAAGAAATATTTTCTGGATTTGCCAGGTTCAGATGAAATTATCAGTAAAATACAACTACGATGGTTGTTCAATTTTACTTCCTCCTCCGCCAAA